GCTGGGGTAGTCGTGCAGGCTAAGGCGCTTGCAATAGGTAACCAAGTTAAGCAACGCCGAGCGGTGATTAGCACTTGGATGGATGACCGCCTGAATTGAGTGACCGTCCACCAGGGAAAGCCACGCTGACCGAGACTCCCCTACCCGGGTTTGTGAGACCCGTCAGCCTACTGGAGACAACTGACACCGACCGGGCGTAGGACTGATGACCCTTCCTCCAAGTACTAAAATCAGGAATCGGGATGTGGTCTAGAAAACCACATCTTACAGTCAAAGATCTACAAGGTCTGAGGCGCCAACAGAAAAAAAAGAAAAATGTATATATATATATATATATATATATATATATATATATATATATATATATATATATATATATATATATATATTTATACTTACCTACATACATACATATATCACTTTTTATAAACCAGTTAAAAATTCAGTAGATCTCTATGTAGCTATTTTTCCTAATTTATAAATACATAGACCTGTTATTCATTTATCTACTTCACTCATCTCCTTTTAACTATTCCAAAACTTTTCATTAAAATTTATGTAATTATGTTATTAGGAGTAATTGAGTAATGTAGGAGTAAGAAACTATTTTTTTTTTCATTTAACGCGCTTCAAGTTTTACTTAAGGATTTCAGAAATCATAATTTCCTAACGATCAGTGTATAGATTTTTTTTTTATTCGATATGTAGCAGATACATATATATCAAATTAAAGCTTGTCAGGAAAATTAATTTATACAGCAACACACCAAATGAATTAAACTTACAGTAAACATTACAACAAGCTCAAATACAGTAATGTTAACGAGCTCGAAATTTTGTGTAAAGAAAAAAATATTTCAGAATATGATGAGCAGCAGATAATTACTATGCTAGCTTATACTACGGCTATTTTGATGACAAAAATGAACCTATTTTTGCAATGTAATATTCACCCATAGAAATAAAAAAATATATAGAGAAATATTATACATAATTTCAAAATTAAGTAAGATAATTCGGAAGTTCGGTGTCATAAAACCAATAACTGTTACTAAAATAGTTGTTTTCTTTGAAACGGATCTAAACCCTAACCTATAAGATCTGACTCAAGACTAAACTCCAATCTACCCCTCGGATCTGTCTCCTTACCATTCTTGTGATCCCTCCATCGTCCAGGTCAAGAACTCTACCCCCTCATTTCTACATCAGCGATGCCATAACTACCATTCATGCCATCGTCTACATCAAATAAATCTTTTGATTTCTCATCTTTATTTCTAGTCACTAAAAGTCTATATGTCTTATGATAGGAGAATATTGTCCTATTATAAGATAAATGAACTAACACACACATATATATATATATATATATATATATGCCATATCGCTAGTGTTAGTGCAAAATATCGTAACTATGTAACATTTTTATAACATACCTATTCACCAGAATAGTTTTACACAAAACTTGTTTCAATGGCCTGTAGGCATTATTCTTCACTTCTAAAAAATATATGAAGGATAAAAGTCTAAAATAATATATTTGAAGGTTTCTGGACTGACGTATATTTTAAAGTTCTTTATTTTAATGGATGGATAATCATTTTTAGTTAATTTGATTGTCTTGTTAAGAGTAGCGTCAAATAAATTACAGAATTTTTCATTATACTCATAAACCATAGTTTTAAAACTTGTTTGCTTAAGAATTCCCATATAATGGATATCCATCTTAGAATGCGGAGAAATACAAAAGGAATTTGTCTCGAAGAAGAGGAGAATCAATTAGAATATTTTTAAAGCTGAAGAAACAAACCGCATCTACTTCAAGGAATTATTTTCAAACACATTATTATAAGATTTAAAGGAACTTCTGAAAGGTACTTCGCAAAAAATATCAAAGTCAACAAAAAGAGATCATTTTTTTTCAGAAAACATGATTATATTTTACCATTTTGGGGGGGAGGGAGCTTCAGACCGAAAGCGCCCCCCTCCCCCCTCCCGTAGATCCGCCTATGGCACTACCAGTAGCAATATAGTATTTGGGATTTAGAATATCTATATATCTTGTCCTATGAACTAACCTCTTATCTACAAATACTTACAGTACAACGGGATCAGGGTCGCTTCAATCGGATCGAACTTACGACTAAGAATAACAGAAACCTCTCATCGACACAGATGGTAAACCTCACCAACTAGACAATTGAAACTAAAAATTGAAGATCGAAGGAAAATAGTGTGACGCAATGACTCAAGGCAGAAAACGGAAGAACAAGTGCAAATGAAGTTTGCAAAATATTTTCCATCGCGACCACCTGAAAGAAAATCAAAGCGAAAGAAAGACAATTGTCAACTGTGTAAAGGTCTCCCGATAAGTAAATTTCAATTTTCATTTGATGGTTTATAAACTTTTATAACAATCTGATGGTTTTCTTTAAAATAGTTGACTCGTCCCTCCCCAACAGAAAATACCTCAGACGTAATATAAAACCATCTATTGAATCATTTTCACAGTCTAAAACAATGACTCACAGCATAGGCGCACTTTTCATTCTGGTTGGGTGGGGGGAGATGCACCAGAACCAAAATAGAGTTACGAAGCATTCAAAAGTATTATAGCTTCTTCCAGGGTTGCCAATTCTATCAAAGAGGGATATACCCTTAGGGACATATTTAATATTTTTTCGCTGTTTTAGTCTTTTCTGGGATTTTATGTTTGCCACCTTTTTATAGCATCAATTTTAACAACTTTCAAGGAACATATCAGAAATAAATTGGGCTCCTACCATACACGCAGACTATGGTATAAATAATATATTCAATTATTTTGTTAAGATATTTTCAAGTGTATATATATAAAAAAATCTGGTGTGCGCAACACACAACTTTCACTTATCGCTCTGCTTGAAAATAATTTTTTTCTGGCAATGTTGGGCTGTTATACAATTTTTGAAGTGCATTTTAAACGGAGCTAAAGCTTAAAGCTTATAGATAACAAACCATTAAATAACATAATAATATAATTAAAAAAACTCTATTTATTATATCGAAGGCAGGTAATTAATCTAGTTACTCCATCTGTTTTTATAAACCACATAACTTCAGTTTCTGAGCCTTTCAGTTGACAGAATGACTTAACTCCAATTTCAAAATTTTTGAGTAAAGTAATTTTAGTGATATTTCTAGTTAGAAAAGTTATATCTATAAAGACAGTGATTAAGTTGATTCCAGAGTGGGTGATTGCAGTGTTGAAATATAGAACTGTGAATTAAGGTATATTAATCTTGCCACTAGAAACATCACTAAAATTAATAATAAAGAATGTTGAAATTGGAGTTAGTTATTCTGTCAACTGAAAAGCTCATATATGCCTACAGAGATTTAAAAGTACATAAATGCCAAAGAATATTGGGCATTTAAGCCCTGTAAAATGACATCAATGAGGATAAGGCCTAATTGATATTATATACCACTTAATTATACAATGATACACCAAGTTTGATCAAAATCGTTAGAGCCATTTTTGAGGAAATTGTAAAAATCTGTTTCATCATTGATATAAAGTGGCACTTCAGGTTAGCCGATTTTAATGAAAAAGTTGCTGTCACACTTAAGGCATATACCGTATGACTTTTCGTTTTTTAGCTAGACTGTTAACATAAACACACAGAGACCATTTTGGGGTACATGGTTATTTGGACTCAGAAGACCTCAAAACATGTATTTCCGTTGAAAATACAGTTTAAAAAATCTTCATGATCGCAATACTTTCCCTTACTATATATTACACCTTTAGATAAGTAAAATTTTAAAAAAACATATAATTATATAAATAAATTTATTTTTAGATAGTGAATATTATATTTGCTCGTTTCAGAATGATTATGTTGAATTTTTCATATAGTATAAAATCGAGCAATTTTTTCTTTTTCGGTCCATTTCCCCCTCCCAATCAAAATCTGCCTGTGCCAATGGTTCCCACTGAAGTTGTGGAGAGGGAGGGTAGGCAACATATTTGACTAAAATTGCTGCTAAGAGTAAATAGAAGCACAGTAATGAGTAAGGGGACTTAAAGGGACAAAAATCAAAAGAACAATTTTCAATCTGTCACAAAAAAAAACTTATTTAAAAAACATATGAATAAAAAATTGTTTATTAAGACAAATAACTCATAGCAAACAAGTTATAACAAAGAACTGGATTAAAATTTGACAAGTTGGATTAAATAAACAGCACATATAACAGAAAGTGGATACAAAAAATTAAATTAAAGTAACCCAAGTTAACAAACACTTAAAGAAGGATGTAATATCAGTAAGGATCGACATTTTATAAAAATAAACAGTAAGAAATTGAAGTTTATACTTACCCAACTCAAAGATTTTAATTAAATAACTACACTTATTTATATCAGACATATAAAATTATATAAGCATATTTATCAATTATTCTGATAATTTATAAATTACCTGTTTATTTCATTTCTTCATTTTTAATTAAAAATAAAAACATTTTTTGAACACTTGATAATATAGTAATGTCACTTACCTGAAACAAAATATTTCTTATTATAATTAATCATTTAAAGAGAAAGAAAAAATGTTTAACATATTTTTTTTTCTCTTTGGTTGTTTTTTCTCTTTGTTTTCAGAGAATATTGAATATTGAAAATAAAGACTTATCATTACCTGAAAAAATAAATTAATTTCAATTGTATTAGTAAAAACCATAATAACAGATAATACGATAATTTAAGAGCATATTTATTTTTATAAAATTATTTAAAATTAATAATTTAAAAATATATAGTGACTCTACAATGAAGATAATTTGGTAATGGAAAATAAAGGATAACTTAAAATCAGGAAAAAGAAATAGAATTCTCTACTAACCCATTAGGCATTTGTATATATACAAGTACGTACGTACAGATTGAGTAGTAAAAGTTCATTTTTCTGAATAATTGCAAACAATAAAGTGTTTTTTTTTTTAATTTTTACCAGGTATGAAATTCGAGAAATGATACAAAAAATAAAGCTGGTTCAAGAATCTTCTGAAAAAGCAGAAGCAGAAGGTGGAACCAAATGCGCAAAACAAAATAATGGTACTATACTTCAAGCACCAACACAACAGAACAGCATAGGTAAGATACCATCTCTCAATCTTCAATTTCAGTGATCTATAATAACATAATGCAGCTTAATAATTATATTTATTTTTTGTTACTATCAGTGCTTCAATCTAACAAATTTTCTAATATTTAGAAAAAATATTTTTAGGCACCTTATTAGTTACTTTTTTTTAATTAGTTGCTTTCTCTTACTTAATTCAAATCATCCATACATTATTTCTAATGCTTAATAATGAAACTGAATACAAATTTGAATGATCATATATTATGCATGAAAGTTTTAACTTGGAAAGCTAAGCACATCAATATAATTATATCAATAGTTCTACAAAACCGAACAAAAATACTTCATTTATCATTTTATGATCACAATTGATGAATAGATATAAACCAACAACGAAGCTCAAAAGAGTACAAAGGTGTTGAAGAGTTCAATCTCTATTCAAGCAATATTCTAAATTAATTAGCTTCATTCTGATACAAATAGATTTTTCTTTTTTGTCACAATTTCATTGGTCAGAAAATCTCCGCTGCTGATACTTTTTGCCATCCCTTTATAAAATTAACAGTTTTGCTAGTAAACTGTTGAAACCTATTTTCTGAGTTCGTTTACCTAACTATTTTTTCCATAGATAAAAGATTTTATTATTACATAAAAAGGCCAACTTCCTTTGAAAATGTTGGATTTTTTGTAACTGATTAATTAGAAATGAACATTATTATAGTCTTTGAACAAAATAAATAAGTACATAAAAAAACAAAAAAACATAAATCATCCACTCTATAGCGTAAATACTTAATAAATATACAATATCCATATTGGTTAGAGAAATAATATGACAGTTGAAAATTTTCCTGACAAGTCAACCTATATATATGTGTATATGTGAAGCAGTTCTAACTTAACTTAACGTAATGGATATCCTAGAAACAGAACCAAGCTAGTCTGTTTCTGAATGTTGAACCAATTAGAAATAACTCTTATCTTAGTACTTTCTTTGATGAACACTCAGGCATAACTTGCAATGATTACAAAAACAAGTCTAGTAACAAATGAAGAGATCCCAAAGATATCTTCCCAATGTAACAATTGTCAAGAAATTATTAATTAGTAATTAGTAATTAATAATATTACTAACTGATATAAAACAAAAAATCGTTATACGACTGAATCAAAATTGAGACAGAGCCGGTTAACCAACTGAATAAATAGTGAATAAAAATCATTATTAAATGTACATGTCTATTAGGTAAAAATATAAACACAATACTATAATTACTCTTCTTCTTTTACTAAGTTTAAACTGTAGTTGTAAAAAATTAATGACTATGGAATATTTAAGGAATAAAAAAAATATTTTTAAAAACTTTCTAAATAATAGGTTTTTTTTAATTTTGAGAATCATGAACATTTTTAATTAAATAAGCTTTCTATTTTATTTATTTTTCATTAACATCTTTTAAGTGTGGATTCTGATCCTCAGAATGACAGAAATGAATGAATGAATGAAATTGATGTAAATCAATTTTTCTTTTTTTCCAGAAAGTGAATATTTTGTGAAGATGTATATATTATACTTTTTATCATTAAATTATGTTTACAAAATATTCAATATAACCAAAAACAGAATAACTACAACTACTACACACATCCACAGAAATAAGAAATATACTAATTCTAGCTTATAGTTGTTGTCATCAAAATTTATTTGCTTTTAAAAGTAAGCTTTACAGAAGATTTTTTATATACAAATCCACATGTATATTTATGTTTGTATAAATGAACATTTATTTTTTGTATATCTAAAAGAACTAAGTTAGGCCAAAATAATTTATTTCATGTTACAATGGTGTATCTATACCAGAGGATATTAATACGTAGACAAATAATGATACCTTAAAAAGGAAATGTGATATCTAAATGACTGTTGCATTGCTTCAATGTGATGTACTGCTACAGCCATTTAATAACATCAATTATGATGAATTTTCCTCTGTCCTTAGCATAGTCTTCAAAAGGAATATTAAAGGTATAGCTAAGAGGTAATCTTGTCAAGACACTGTAGTTCTTGTTAAATCACAAGTAGATCACTGGGTTTATCACTCTAACACTAACACTCTTTATGGCCTCTTTTCTTCTCACCAGTATCAGCACCATCGTAGTTTCAAGATTAAACAACTAACCACATTTAATTGACACAATTCACATTTGTACTTGATAGTGGTTTTTTACTATACACAACCCATCCATTCTTGCAAAACATTGTATAATAATTAAAAGAGATAAACATTATTAACATCTAATTGATTCACATTTGAGTAAAATGGACTGAAATCAAACCGATTTACGGAGAAACAATATTATTACAAAAAACCAAACAGAGTTTACATCAATATTAATAATGCAATTAGAACTCAAGAAATAAATAAATTAAACAGATCAAAATTATATTAAATAGCTTGAAGAAATCTATATGGTGTAAGAAATCTATATCACCTATCTATATGGTGTCATAAGGTATAAATACTATACAGCAGACTTTCCGACGTTAAAACAGACATCTTGACAGATGATCATTACGTATATTTCCCATAGATCTTCTTTAATATCTTACATGGAAACAGAAATAATTTACTACCATCATTGAAAACTGATCAGGGGTGATTAAAATGTTAGACTCAAAAAGGCATTTTATTCAGCCATTATAACAGTTAGATTAAATTTGAAACATATTTATGTTTATAAAATTTAGAATAGTGGTCACAGAGAAGTTGGTAAGTTAAAAAATGGTCCTTCTCAGTTATTTTTATTAACTTCATCATACCAATTTACATTTCTAAATCTTTTTATGTAGAAGAGAGTTACGAGTTACCAAGAAAACATGGTGTATCTCTGTGTGCTGAATGCTTGGGAGGCCATCACAAAACAGATTTAATTAGGACCATTTTTTTACTTATCAACTTATATTCTATGACCATGGATAAAGATATGTCCCACAATACTTTTAATGGAATGATTTCCTAATTATTTAGGACGTCCTTAGTGAAGACACTGGAGCTGATCATTAATCTTCTTGTTAAGAGTACAAGTATCTACTCCTAATAGTTGGAGAGAATATAATATTAAAATGAAGAAAAAGTAAAAGTTGCATAAGTCCTTGCAATTGTGAGGACTTCCAAAATGGTTTTTAATTTTATTAACAAGGAAATCATAATAATTTTTCTTTATCTATTTGAATCGCAAATAGATTATTTAGACTAGGTATATAGTTCTACACTATAGACTTCTTAAAATATATGCTTAAAAAAAAATTTTTGCTGCACATAAATTAAATCAGAGAAGCTTTAAATCAATATTGGAATTTTTCTACAATTCTATATAACCTAAGGCAAATTTAGTAATTTTCCAAGACTTACTACACAGATTGTAATATATTGATGACTAGAATATTTTAAGTATGGTTATGCATACAAGCTGATTTTCTTTGAATAGTATACAGGAACAGAGAATAGCCAATTTACTTTTCATTATTGGTGTGTTAGGCTTAACTTTGTGTCCTCTAACTAAGGAAAGAAGGGTGGGTTTTTCTACAGAATATCAATCTATTTTAACCAGAGTGAGAAAGTCGATCCATCCTATGAGTTTCCTACAAAATAAATTTTAATCCGAATTTGAAACAAGCCAGATTTGAACCAGCACCACCTCTGACTTGAGCTTGCTAAGATGGTGGCATAAAACATTTGTCCACCACAGCCTCTACTTTTACAAACTCCATATTTCTTAAATTATATGAGGATATTTTGTTAGTCTTCTGATCCTGTCTTCATTTAGGACTATGTGGGTACCCAGTTTAATCTTAACTTCAGCAGCTGATAAGTGATAGCATTAAGAGAATATGGATGATGTCCTTTGCCTTCCTAATAGAGCATGTTAGGACTTTCTATAACAAGCTCATCTTAGAATTTTTTATAAAGAAAAGCATAAAGCCAATAGTAATTCTGAAGTATATTGCAAGACTTTTAAATCTTTGAGAGAAGAAAAAAAATTACTTTTCATTAAATAAATGTAATAAAAAATTGTATTTCCAAATCTACTAAATTTTCAATTTAAAATTTAAATGTACTATTATCCTTAAGCGGAGAGTACAAAGAAGGTTTAATCTTTGTTTATATTGTTTATATTCAAATTAAGACAATATATCTAATTAAGACTTTAAATACTAATAAAATAATGCCCATAGGTCGAGAAGGATGTGAAAGCCCTGGAAGAAGGCCAGGAAAGAAGCACCTGACAACAGTGATTGCACAAGATGCAGGAACGGACAGCGACACCAATAGCCATTGCGCCCTTATCCTCTGCGATGGAGCGGATACATCGGGAGCAAATGGTAACAACAATTATGAAATGGGGGAACTTAACAGGCAAAGGACCTGACCACTCATTTGGCTTATCAAGAGGGCACACGGCAAGTTGAGGTTTTAGCATGCCTAGCCCTCGGCGCCTGATAATTGCGCGAAAAAGAATATTCTATCTCCCAATTTCTAAACCCACAATTATTATAAACAGATTAAAAACTGCTGATGCAATGTACTATTATGATCGTGAATATCACAGATCTAAGTACTGAAAATAAACAATGCTTCTAACTGTAAATAATATTTTAAATGTAACATACGTAATCATGAAGAAAATTTTAAAAGAAAAGCGGAATAATGTAATTCTAAATTCTTAAAAGTTTACTACAATTAGTTAACTAATTTCATATTGTCAAAAGGAAGCTGAAAATAAACTCTTTACTTTGCACATAAATGAGCTTTCATTGACAAGAAATATATATTACATTTTGGTCTTGTCATTAATGTACATATTCTAAATCATTAAATGATAATTATTTCTTTATTTATATGAAATATTAAAACATGCTAATAGTCCTTGAACCACTTATTACAAGTGAACTCAAACTGAATAACAGAATTGCTAGGAGAAAAATTTTACATGCTGATTATGCAAATATTTATTTTTAATAGCATGACAATAATTTTTTTAATTAAACTTTCGATAATGGTTACTATTTCTATTAATAGAGTTTGTTTAAATAAAATGTGAAATGGTGATTTCTCACTGTCATCCTAAATAAAATAGAAATTAAAAAAAAATTTGGTGTATTAGCTTCTCATTTAATGAACTAACCTTTCATTACAACATTTGAATATCTAATTAACATAGTAAATGTTTAACTCAGAAATGCAGAAAATGATTAAAATCAAAAATATGTTATTCTATATTATTATGTTGTGAAGATTAGACAGAAGCGTGGGTTCACATTTCCTTTAAAAAATATACAATCTACCTATCATTTAAACATTGTTCAAAATGATGAATAAAACTTACAAAGATATGCAAAAACAATTATTCTAATTCTAATTTCCACGTCAATAATTCATTATAATCCAATAAAAATTAAACAATTATAATAAGGATAATATATATGTAAATGTATCTTTCAAATTCTACATAATTCCTTTTTTTAAATAACTATAATAATTATTGTATATTTTACATTCAATTGTAAATTGTGTAACCTATACTCATTATTAAAATGTTTAAGTGTTTAGCCTATAGAAAAAAAATGAACTGTTGTAAACACCAAGTATAAAATATTTTTATTCAATGTTTTGAATAATTACAACCTTATATTTAATATTTAAAATTATGTGAATAATGTATTAATATGCACTATTATTTTTTTACTTCTGATTGATTAATATTGAGATATGCACGATCATTGAAATAAACTGAATCAATGGTGCTAAATAAAATTACTAGACTAGATGTTAGAAAATTTAGAATGCTTCCCTTTAGAAAACCCTGTTACAAAAATTAATTTTAACGCCTAATTTTTTCAATGCCAATATTGTTCTTTGGTCACTTTCCTGCATGAAATTAACGAAGCACACCAATAGGCCAATTAGGAAAGCTTACTAAAAAATGATTTGTATATAATGTGAAAATATAAGTTGATGAAATTGTATTCTTTATTTTGCTTAATACATAGAACTTAGAGCATTTGTGTCATATTTGTAAACATTTATTTGACTAAATATTTATCGGTAAATATGTCTTTAAAAAATAATAAGAAATAGATTGTGTATTTGTAATAAAAATAATATAAATTATTTAAAAATTAAAAAAAAAATATTTATATGTAAAAGAAAGAAAAAAAAAGTTCAAATAAAGTGTAGACACTGCTTGAGCTTAGAAAATTTTAAATGTGCAGTATGGGCTGTGAAAAAAAAAGAAAAAAAATGGATACCTTAATTCTATTTTTAAATTATGTATATAAATGCTAAATACTTTATTTCAATTTAATAAAGCAATCTTCTTTTAATAGCATTACATACATTTCATAATTTCATTTAAATTTATTGTTTAATGTTTTTCTAATTAAATTAAGACATAATAAAAATATTGAATGATTAGTGCGACATTTTGAAATCTAGAAAACTATAACAAGTTGATAAAAGTAATTATCAAAATAAAAAATAACAAACTGAATGTTAATAAGTGTTACAATGGGGGTCCATAAAGTATTTATTATCGGTGTAGTGTTTTAGTGCGCATTAATTATACACAAAAGACTTACCATTCAAATGGTAAACAGTCAAGAGTATGAGGTTGTACAAAGTATATGTATTTATTGTGCTTCATTCTAGATAAGTGTACAGATTCATTTGCTAAAATAATGAGCCAAAAAATTATAATATTAGTCTTTTATTTTTTTAGTAAACTTTACAAGCAAAAGTATAGTCGCCATAGGCAGACAGGGTTAATTATAAAGCAGCAAATTGCCTAGAATATTTGTATGTAACTAAAAATGACATTTAACCATAAGCAAAAGTCTGTATATAAAATTCATCCTTTATCAGTTTGTTCATTAATTTATGTAACTCATACTATTATTTAATTATATTTTTAATAATTCTTAAATGTATTATAAATATATATATTAAATATTAATTTAACATAGATATATTTTATAAATATATGCTGTTTTTATAGTTGTTATTAGCTTTGTATTAATGACCCAAAACAACCGCTTTTTTATCATATCACAACATTAAGAAACTAGGAATAGTTTTAAGTTACTAAGCAAGCTTTATATTTAAATAAAGACTTATAAATTCATTTGCCACATGGCTAACTACTAAACTAAGTGCTTACGACTTTGTGATTCATTTTTTTTAGAGTGCTAAGCAGTCAGAGCCTACATTGTCCCATGTTAACATCAATTTGAGCATTTTACACATTCATATTGCAATACAGAGACTTCCAAGAAAGATGAACAATCCACACTGGGTGAATACAAACTATAGACAAATTTTAGGCAAATTAAAAAAAGAGTTTCTAAAATATGTATTTTTATCACCATTTTTCTTTGTGAGGAAGAGTTGATATAAATTAAATATATTTAGACAGTAGGGAAGGTACAGCTAATATGACAATTGTTGTCACAAAAAAATTTAAAAACAAAAGAAATAACTTTAGATAGAATAATTGAAAATTTTGCCAGGAAAATAGCTCCTAAGGCTAAACTTTAAAATTCTCATTCAAAGAGATGTGAATGTTTCATTTAGTTTAAAAATATTCATTGAATAAAATATTTCATTTCTGTACCCTGGAGAATTAATCCAGACACCCTATTCACACAACTGTTACATTGGTGAAAAATAATTTAACATGATTTGCAGCATTCATATGATCATAAGTCCGTCATGATCTAGCTAACTCTCTCATTATTGAAACTGACTATGAACCTTTCCAATAAACTTAAGAAATGCTATTTATAGTATATATATATATATATATATATATATATATATACATATATATATATATATAATATATATATATATATATATATATATATATATATATATATATATATATATATATTTATATATATGCAGGCGTGTGAGAAACAGTCAGGTAATCAAGTGACATAAGTAAGTACATCTAATTAGAAGTAAATGGTTTAAATGCTAGAAGGACAATATAGATTAACTTAGATTATATTTAAAATCAGAGCTTGAAATGTAAAAAAAATCTTTTATTTTTAAAATGTTTCAGTATCATCGGAATTTTAATTGTTGGTGGTTTATCAGTTCTTTTAGAACTAGAACTTTTTCCGTGCAACTTTCCAGTTAAGGTTTTACAGAACTTTTATTTTTAAAATACTTTTATTTAAAAGTTCTGTAGATTTCTCTAAATATTCGATCTGAAAAATGACTTTTAATCATAGCTACTCAAATAAACAAATTATAATCATGTGTAATTCATTTAAGCCAATTATAACTCTAATGTAAGTCCAATTACTGTTTATTTTTCATTTAACAGAACTTTAATAAATAAAAGTTAAACTTTTACTATAAAGCTGGAACTTTGTTACAAAAAAGTTCCATAGGAACTTTTATTTTAAGAACGTTTTTCTTCCTTTAACAGGAACTGTTAAAATGAAACTTTTTTCTTAGAAAGTTTCAATTTATGTTTAAAATTATATAAAAATTCAATATTATGATGTAGAAATATACCATAGAAACGGAAAATAATTTTTAGGTATAAAGGCATAACGATTTCTGACTGTCATGACTAAATTTTCAAAAAAATAATTACCTAAATCAGTGGGAAAAAGTCAATAAAAATAAGTCATCATTAATTCAATTTACAATAAAGTTTTAACAATAAAGATAAGACCCTGCATGAATAAGGTCCTGGATCAATTTTAAACCCCAATCTTCTCATACATAATTTGGGGTATGTTTACTTTATTATTTTACAATTCTACCAATAATTATTCACACAACCCAACTGATTTTATTGTAATAGTGATCTTGAAGGTGTAATTTATGCACCATTTACTTTCAATTAATAATCATGATTTGATTTCTCTAATTTCCATAGTAAACTAATGGAAAGATCTAGTATTTACAAATTTAATAGATTTCAAGCCACAAGTACCATTATAGTATCCAAGTATTACCTGTATGGAAGTTTTATACAAGTGGTATCTGTATGGAAGTTCTATAATAGGAATATGCAGATTTTTCAAAAACGCATTAAAAGGAAATGTGTGGTCGAGACAAGAGCTGACATCATAACATTCGTCAACATTCGACGTTTCATGAACAAGTTTGACCCAAGTGATTGTGAACCACGCATAACCGTGGGGTCCTGATCGAAATAATTAATTTCTTTTTTAATTATAAAGCATCTACAGCTACTAAATGTAAACACCTATCAAGAAAAAAAAAATTTGAATTACAACTAGAGAATTTTTTTCTCTATAATCAGTGCCGCCCTGGGAGATCCGGCGCCACCGGGCAATGACGTCATCTCCCCCTCCTAAAAAATTTAATTTATTTCTTAAATTATTTTTTATAATGTAATATTTGAATTTTATTTCATTCAACATTGTTCTTATAAGGTTACTTTATTGATAGGCTAAAATTGTTTATTTTAATACTTTTATATTTTTTTTTTAATTTCTAAAAAGCAGCAAGCGCCACTAGAGATCAGCCAGTGCCCCTAACGGGCGCCCCTCAAGGTCGGCATTAATTTTTTTGTATTTTATACTTTTTTTCTCTTGTAACAAGCCTTCACGGACTGCTGTATTTCTTTCTTTTTTTCAGAGGAATTACCGTTATATATATAAATAAAATAAAATAAAAAAATTGCTCCCCAAAATAACATCCTGTATCCACTGGTGAAGCCCAACGATCGTATTATTTCGAAATATTGGCAATATGTCAATGTGAATTTGTAATCGATGATAAATTTTTTATTTCAAATTACAAGAAAACCAAAGTTCTGTTCTCAAATTATAACTATTACATGAACTCTTATCAGAAACAAAACGTGTAACTACAGATCTGTTCCTTCTATTTTTATTATTAAAAATACGTAATATAATCTATTAAGATATATTTTATAAGTAAAAGTACTTTTGAAGCAGATGTTGGTGAGGGGGGAATGGGGAAGGAAGAAGCTCATCAATTGCTAGAGGTAGGCCTGATTTAGTGCACCACTAGTCAGGTTGAAGTGAAGACGTCAAGGAAGAGACCGCGTGATAGATGGCTTGACACAGAGGAAGCAGATTGAAACATTTTTCACCATACTTCAACCTATTAGTTTCTAACTAAGGCACTGCCGTTGAAATACTTCAGTGCATTACTAAATATAAACATTAACTACTATTCTCTAAAAAATAGATAAGACAGGGACCATAGAGGAAATAAATGTAATCAGAAGAAAAGGAAACGTAATTATATTGCATCAGAACCTACAGCGAATTAAGTTTCTTCATGCCCCACATGATTTACACTAGTTAAGGTACAAAAATCCTAAAAAGGGCTTTATAAATAATTTAGTTTAATAAAAAAATAAACAACTTTTTTTTTTCAAGAACACGGTCGTGTGGCAATCGTTAATATTTTGACTATGAGATATTATCTTTCTTATCTACTATATCCATATTATTCATTGAACACTAAGAATTACTTCGGGTCTGTCTTATCGGTGATCGAAATATCTCAACAACCAGGAAGCAAATTAATCTGGTACGGTGCGTATCACGCAGGTTTCATTCACTATCTGACTGAGTAGAAAACGATATTTTCATATATAAAGAAGGAAAATTAGAAATTCTAAATGATATAACATAATCACTTAAAACAACTAATCACCACACGTTTTCCTCATTCACCCAGGGATGTGCAAAAGGGAAGTTCATACTGGTTTTGAATGTTTGCGGAGGGTGAATTTCTACGTTGTTGTGATTTTTTGGAATGAAAAGTTTCAATCCAAGAGATAAGAGAAAGAGCATGGATCACACTAGCCTACGATTTTTCCAATTCTACTATCGGGTTGTATGTTTTTAGGAAGAAACGAGTAATACATGTTTTTTTTTTTACATGTTTGACCTTGGGGAAGGATGGGCACATTCATGTAATCTCTTAAATTAATACGTCTTTCGTTACTGTCCATTTCTTTTTATGTCAGTATATTTTCATTATTTGTTTATTTATAAGAGTTCCACGTTCTGTTTTAGATCGATAAGAGTTGCGCAAAATGTTTTTATCCCGATAAAGGTGTCGTAACAAAAACAGTTTGAAATTTGCTGGTCTATAAAACAGATGCTTACTAAGAGACCACATTGTACAAAACAAAGCATGTGTTACTACATATGATTTATTACTCTGACAAACAGGTTTGTACCTACATTGGCCATATGACTACAGATGATTTTTTTTTCCAAGTATGTTATAATTGTGATTATTATTTGTTTTGATCGTGATTTCTATTTACAATATTCTTGGGAGACAGTTTGATCATAGGAAATTGTGATAGAATTACATATTTAGGTACACATTGTCGAACTTAACAGTTCCGGAGAGAGCATCTGAAAAACAATGGAACAATGAAAAACAAAGTATAACCTTTCTAAATGAAATTATACTTATGGTATCCAAGATTTGGAGGCAATAAGAACAAGATGCCAGAAGATTCTACCCTCTGAACTATTTTGCTTCCCCTTCCTAACAGGACTGTAGATTGTATTATTGCTTTAAATACATATTAAATACAGGGGTGTAGGTTGAAGTGTTGTTTTAAATATATTTAAGAAGCATATCTATCATTGGTCAAGATCTAAAACTTCAAAGTGGTTTTGATATATAGCCTTCCTTACACATAAGAAAATTATTTTTATACCTTGGCTGGTAACTGAAGGCTGGCGAAGAATAAGTGAACAGCAATGCAGTGGAGGAGTGGTGATGGCCTTTACTATCTAAAACAGAGATCTTCAAACTTTTTGGTCCACGGGGCACATTGATATCTCCAAGTTCCGAGGGCCACAACTTGTGATGAAAAAAATATCTTGTCTATAAATGATACTTCAGTCGTGAAATGAACTTTCTAAGAGAAAAACCCATGCAATAAATGTAGCAACCTCTTATATGAGTAATTTGATAAATTTCATATTTTTTTAAAACGTTTTTAAAATTTTACCATGTAATCAACTATTGCGGGTCGGACTGGAAGTGCTTTCGAGCCGGATCCGGCCCCCGGCCGTAGTTTGGAGACACTAGGTCTAAAGTACATACGTATGCTAAACTTACAGTCTCTACTAATTCACAATATTTACTTATTAATGTTGTTTAATAATGTAGGTCTCTAGGGTGAATTCATGTTCTGCATCATATTACTAAATATTGAACATTAATGATAATTTAATATGTATTCTAAAATTGCAAGACAGAATGACAAAAAAAATAAAATAAAGACTCACCTTTATATCATCATTCAAGTTTATCACAGAATCCAAATTGGAACCTCCAATCACTACCTAAAATAAAAAATTAAAACATTATAATATTTATGTTTTGATCATCTGCACGCTAAACATCTAGGTAAGAGAATCCCAAACGATGGTATGTGAACGAGCAATAAAAATTGATAAAAATATTAGTCCGCGGTACAAACTCCTTTTTATCGATTTATTAACATCCGCCTGAAACTTCGTAGTTTCGTCTCATCGTAACCTACAACTATTTTATTTACGAAAAATCTTGGAATTGGGGCATTTTCTATCTGGAGGGGGACAAACTTTGTCTATTTAATTAGATACTAAAAACTCGTAAATACTCATTTGCTTTCTATTTGAATCGTAAGATAATATGATCACAAAATCGAGAAAAAGGTGCTCAGCAAAAATATTGGATCATTTGTCCTATATAATCTCGTTATTTTGAAATTTTGGGGGTGTAGGTGACGCCAAACGGCAGCTTGAAGAAGAGTTCTTTAAGATGATGCACTCACAGAATAAAACTTATAAAGCCTCAAATGCCGCATTCACTGAGTACTAACAGTTTTAATGCACTTCACTTACTCGAGATTATTCCTCGAAGTAATACCTCTCGAATCGGGATCCGTTATTTCTTCATGAAATTCGCTTTCTTTTCATACCTAGTTTCTCATAAACCTTCTCTGCTTAGAGGTGGAAAAGAGGCTTAAGTATACTGTATACACTAGCCTCTTAACAAGAATAAATCAGTAGAATAGACAGCCATACTATTGAAATATTTAAAATCACAGATATCTTCATTACCAATTACTAGCCTCTTAATTTCTAAACTCTTAGCTGACTGCTGAGGAGTACGTTCGTGAGGGACCAGTCTACTGCTCTTTTTCACCTTCCCCATGGAGAGTAGATGGCGACTAACAAAATCTTTCGACACAATACACTTCCCGGCAAGTTCGCGAGTACTTGTGGACGGATTTGACTGAACAGCTTCCTACAGAACCTCATCAATATCCATCAATGGTCGCCCGGAGCCCTTCTTCCTGTCGTCGTATCCTCACTGCGAAATTTCTGTTACACTGCAAAAGACATGTTCCCTTGCAAAGGTCGGGTAATTTAAATTTCTTTTTTATATTGTTAGGTATGTATTGAATATAAAAAAATCAAGTTTCAACCCTTGAAAGATTTGTGGGTTCCCTGCAGTGAAACAAAAACCATGAAATTTCGATTTTTTTTTGGTTTACACTAAACATCTCCTTTTTAGTGCGACATAGATAAAAAATGACTATTTTCAATTTTAAATCGCTTAAAATTATTTAACATTTTTGCAAATAACTGTTTTTTCTAAACCAAACAGGAAGCGAACTAACGATCTTTCAAAATTTACCCATTTTATTCTTCACAATAGTGCTTTTTCAGTTTTGAACGGAACGATTCTGTGACTCCATTTTGAACCCCATCCAGGGAATTTGGACGTTTTCATTGCAGATAATGAGCCAATGAATGGAAAGATAGACGGTAGTGGAGATGTGTTTTGAGAAGTATGTTACACAATGGACCAGACCCAGGAGGATAGGAACCTTGTCCCATAAATTGCATATAGTTATGTTCCTTTTAACTATTTATTTAAAAAAAAAAGCCAATGCTCCCACAAAAAAAAGTGGCCGCAAATAGTGTCTGGACATTGTGGATTGACATCTTTGACTTGAGTTAGTTTTTCGTTTTTTTTCAGTTAGTTTCCAAATGAGATTCAGCAGTTCGATTAATTTCGTCATGATTGGCCTTTTATTAAAGCTGATAGTAAGAAAAAAATAAAACATGAAGAATAAATGGCCTTGGCAATAAAAATCATCAATAAATTCAATTTGATTACTTGTATAGCACTTTATCTATGCGATTTATGAGTACTGAATGATGTGGCATACACTGGCATAATTTGACATTAAAAGTAACAAGAAAACCAGTAATTCTTGATGACTAATTTCATTAAAATAAGTGGAAAACAGTAAAAATGAAATTATAAGAGTTTTTCGAATTTCAAAACATTAATTTCTGTTTAGCTATTAGTATTTAAGTTTTTATTTAATTTAATTATTTATTGAGAAATATTACAACCTGTCATAATTACGATCATTTGTAATAGTTTTCAGAGAGAAATCTTGTGCAGGGGCAATATGGTAACCAATGAAGGTCTACTGAGGTGCAATTGTTGCTTTTTGAAAACATTGAAGTTGTTAAGTTTAGAAAAATATGTTACCTATAAAGCTGTAGTAAATTGTATGTTTTTAAATATATAATTTAAAAATTTGAGCTAAAACACCTATAAAAACAGATACTTAAAAAAAAACAAAAAATTATACATTTTTTTTGTGAATTTTCAAAACATTACCCATTTTGAAAGCTCAACAATTTGCTTCCTCTTGGGTTTAGAAAAAAATGTTATGTACAAAAATGTCTGATAATTTTAAGCTGTTTTAGATTGAATATAACCAATTTTTATTTATCTTGCTTTAAAAATGAGATGTTTAATGTAATTCAAAAATTTTTCGAAATTTAAATAGTTTTTGGAGCACAGCAGCGAACCCACAAAGCTTTTAAGTGCCGAAACTTGGATTTTTTATATCAACTACATACCTAACAATATAAAAAAGAAATTTGAATTAGCCGGTCTATTGCAAGGTAGACACCTTTTTTTGTGCTAATTTTACTGGGCTATATCATGTTGGAGGGAAAAAGGTGAGCAGTTGGTAATCAGATGTTGACATCTATCTTACCAGGACAACAAAACACGAGATACTCGTATTCTCAGTGTTATCTAAAATTTTTGGCCTCAAAAACTCATTCTTAAAACCGGGATGATCCAGAAAATGTCTTCAGAAGTAGGGAGGGATAAAAATAAATCATTTTAAAACTTGATATTTGATTTAACTTCCTAATTTTCCCCCCAAGAAAGAAATCCTACTGTTTTATGTAAAATTAAAAAAAAAATACATCATTAGTAAACGTTTCCCGAACTTTTAATGTTAATTAGCTAATATTCAGTGCCTGCATTAGGGTGGGGCAACCGGGACAATGGCCCGGGACGAAAAGAAACAAAAAATACAAAACGTAATAACATAATTAATTTTAGCCAGTCAATAAAGTAACTGTATCAGAAAAAATGTTAAATGAAATAAAATTCAAAAAATTTTCATCATATTATTCCCATTAACTTAATTAAAATCAAATTCTTAACAAAATAAAAATATGTAGGTTGCTAATTTTGTAATTTGAAGAGTAAAAGAGAAAAATAGGCAAACTATTTTCGTTTTCAGTTGAGTTAAAAAATGAATTTAAATTGAAAATTGCATTCTTCCAGGGAGATACAATGAGAAAAAATAAATTCAATACACATTATCTAAAGCTTTTTTCGGATTTTAACAAATCGAAAGAATGCAACTTTTCATTCCGTAATTGAGAGGAGTACAACTGTTTTTTTTCTGATTCTTGATTTAAATGTCTTATAAATATAAAGAGTAAGAAAATATATTTACAGTAGTATTATAATAAGCAATTGTCTGTCCCAGGCAGCGAATTTTGAGCATGTTTTTTTTAAGTAAAAAATATTTTTTCTACTTTTTGGGTTTGACATTATTCAGAGTGGCTACCAGACAGTCAAAGAAAAATTCCCTGACATTTTCCTATTTGATGATAGTTTCTCCTGACCAATATGTCTGGAGACACAAATATTAAAAATTGTAATTTATAAATAAATTTATTTTTATTACATGAAAAAAGTGCTGCAAATTATTATATAATGGTTTATTATTTCCAAACAATTGTATGTCAAAAGTAACATTACTTAACATTAGGAAAAAATGAGTAAAACGTGATTCCTAATATTGCACTAAATATTTTTTTATTTCATCATTAGCAATTTTCTAAGAAAAATAAAAATGAAAAACCTTGGTGCACTAAACTAAACACCTGTTTATAATATTGGGTTGTCCGGAAAATAATCTAGGATTTCGGTTTAAAAAGAAAAAAGAAATATTTAAAACTGTTTTATTTAATCAAAATAGTACCCACTACTATCAAATAATTTCTGCCAACATGTTGACAACTTTTTCATACCCTTGGAATAGAATTTCCGTTTACAATTTTTATTTCTTTAGAATTTTATCGAACATCTTCACAATTGATAAACTCCACCAGCACATTTTCTAATTTCCTTTGTCAATTAAATTTGTTCACATAAGTAGTGGTCCAGGTGTCTAAAAAAATTATAATCCGTACGCGAGAGGTCCGAAGAGTAGGGCCGGTGTCATGGAGCCGGACTTCAACAGTTTTTGTGACATAACACGCGAGACATGTGGCCGGGCGTTGACGTGCAACAAAATGGACTCCTTCCAATTGACCAAAAATGGCTTCATTATTGGCAATTTTTGATGCATTGCATTAATTTGGTCACAATACGATTCATCATTGATGGTTTCTCCATGATTTAAGAAGCTGTAGTGTATCAAACCAAATGAAGCCCACCAAACAGTAACCATCACCTTTTTTTTATGAGTTGGGGACTTTGGAAAATGTTCCGCAGCTTCCTCTTTGTTGAGCTACTGTCCAGAGTATCCACTTTTCATAACAGGTAACAATTCTGGACAGAAAAGAGTTGTTTTTGTTTTGACAAAAAAGTGTAGTGCAAACTTCATAATGCTGGTTTTTTTGGCAGTCATTTAATGTGTGTGAAACCCAACTTTCAAGCTTTCAGCAGTGCATTCATTAATGCTGCTCTCTCGATTGATGTTTCTGGCTGTCTGGGCCCCATTCCGGTCAAGTTTAAACTCATAAAACAAAATTATACAAAAATCACACATAGACATGTTATAAAGACAGAATTATTTCTAAGCAGCGAAATGCTACAGAGGTAAAGAAACAGTATCATTTGGAATAGGATTAATAAGTGTTGTCATGCATACAAATCCAAAAAACGTAAATAGTTTGTTATACAGAGGGGTATTTTAAAGAAAACTCAAAATACTGCATTATTTTCCAGACAACACAATATTTCAGCATTTTAATTTTGGAAAACAAGCTTACAATATCAGGATAAATACAATCTTCAATTCTATTCAAAATTATTGTAATAATGTAAATGTAATAACATTTAAAATCAAATGAATGGAGGATCATCAATGTATCACATGTATTTGTATTTGGCATGGTAGATTATGTAGTTTCCTGTGTAATGTGATCATCATATATGCATTAATTATTTGTGGAAAGAGAGACTCTGTTTTCGGACCAAATCCCCAGTGCCCTTCTCACTAATTCAAACACTTGAGTCTATGATCAATGTGGATTTAGATCTATGAATTATGGCTGATCAGGCTTTGGACATGGAGATGATCTCATAAGAAAACTGGATGGGCCAAATCTGTACGTGGTAATGTTTAATGTTCTAGAAATACTACTAGAATTTGAAATATATGCTATTCCTTATTAAGATACATTAGGTAACATCTTCTCTCTTATACTCAGAGTAAGCGTGGATTTACTGCATTAGGAAGTGGACCAAAATACTAAAAGTTGGCTCCAAATAATTAACAGATAATAAAAAAAATTTAAAAGTAAGAAAACATTTAAAGGTTCAAATTGATGCTGTTTTGAAATCATGCACTTTACTCATAATACATGGGAATTATCACATCAAGTATTTTCTTAAAATGGCTGACTTTATTAATTAAATAATCATAATGTCATTCTAAGCTGATTACAAACAAATATATGTTATAAACAAAATTTACAGAATGAAAATCTTAGTTTTTCAAAATACAGATTTATTCATAAATATCTCTGAATTTTAAGGTCTAAAAATATTTTATTACCACTGTTTTTAAAAAAAAAATATTTTGTAAAAGCAAAAAGTTTTCAATTCTTCATGAAATATCATATATACTTACTGGATATTTCCTAGTAGTGGTTACAGAGAATGGTTTCCTAAAAGAAAAAAATTAACATTAATTTATCTCCTAATTTTTGTTTTAAATGACAAAGCATGGTTAATTAAAACTCAAAAGATAATTACGAAAGTACACTTACTCAGGTAAATTACTTAATTCTTTTGCTATTTTTCCTCCAACCAATGCATTATTTTTAATTAATGCCATATCTGATTTCTATGTAAGAAAATAACTAAAGAGTATATTCTTTTAGAAATGTTTATTAATATTATTTTATTATCATTAACTTATATTCCACATACTAAGGAAAGATCTTGAATTCATTATCTCTAAAACATGAAAATCTAAAACAATGAAACAAGATTTCATTGAAGAATAAGAGACTCCTCGTGTTTTTCAAAACCAGCTAGAACTAAGGCCAACTCCCTCGATTCTAGAAGGAATAAATCCCATGACCAAAGGATCATGTAGAAGTAAAGATACAAACTCGCATCAAAAGACAAACCTTTCTAAAGAAAACACACTCCATAAAATCAGAAATTCAGTGCACAGAAATCCAGCCTTAAAAAAAGAATATAGTAGATTACTCCTCCCACAGATGGATCAACGGAGGGGGGCTTTCGGGTTGAGGCCTCCCCTCCCCAAAATGGTAAAATATAACTATCTTTTATACAGAAAAATATTAAAAACTAGCTCTTAAACTATTATTGTTCGTGTAATTACATTTAATGGGACTTCATGAATCACTTAAACACCATGTCATATAGGTAGATAGTTTCTTTCTTTTTTTTTTCAAATTAATTATCGATATAAATATGAAAAAAAAATCCCCCAAAATTAAATCCTGGATCCGCTAGTGCTACCCACTATGCACGTTCTTATAGACCTTGCATCTGTACATCCAACCCAGAGATCAGAAAGAAATGTGACCAGAACCCATTAGAAATTAGAGTTGAAGCAATCAAATACATGAATTGCACCTTCTCAAAAAGCCAAGATTTATATGGTTCAGCTGAAAATGCTACAATAATGGACTTCCATTTAGAAGCATTAACACATTAAAGGCGGGAGTCGCAGTTCTACGATTTATCTCGACTGCTGCTTAAAGGCGGGAGTCGTAGCACTACGATTTATCTCGACTAGCATACTTTCGTGACAAAAGGTTCATCAAGATCCCCCGCATTTAATCCCGCCTGTTAACATAGAATTTCTTATGGTCATATAATTGAGAAAGCCACAGGATTGAACTGGATAAAATACAGAGACGAACATGATTCATAACTGGAGGCCACAGGAATTCTAATGCACCTCAAGGGAATTCAGAAATAAAAAATATTACTACTAAGCAATGCTGAAACAGTTCTTTTGTCCCTGCATCAGCTAACACTCAATATATGCCATATGAGTTGTTGCAGTAGCTTGAGCCGATATCAGTTATTTTAAATAATAATATAAATTCATTAAAACCACATATAGAAAAACATCTCAGTACCAATTACCTAGAGGAATCAAATTTTGTCAGTTATATAGAAATGTCCACTTCAGAGAAACTAAAAGTAAAATATGATAAAAAAAAAAAAAAAATTGGAGATCAAAATTGTATTTTATAAGTGATTTCAAAAATGTTTATTTTTTTTCAATTTAAATATATTCTTATCAGAAATAATTGTTATAATAAAATATAAACTTGTACATTAAACATTTCAAATTACATATTAAATTGATTATAATAATTACAAAATTATTATAACAACCTACAGGTTTTGTTTGAAAAAACTTGGGCAATGCATTCATATGTTACTTGATGTACGGCAAAACCTGAAGTTTTAGGAAATTATGTTTTCGCATTAACATTTTCAAGTTGGATCCATTTTTCACACAATTCCTTTTTACTTTCCTACCTATACTAGGTAAGGAAAGTATTGCAATCGGGTCAAATTTCCGACATGCGGTTTTCGACGGATCTATACGTTTCAAAGCATCCTGAGTCCGAAAAACTGAGGCCGTTCATCCTGTCGTTTGAAAGGTAATGAAATTCCCTACAAAGCCATATAAAAATCGTTCATTTTTGACAACTATTAATGAAGTTACGGCGATTCAATTTCAAATGTAAGATTACATTTTCATATCCTGGTGTCAGAAAAGGGTGAACGAGAGAATAATATGTTTCTTCATGAACATATGTAAAGATATAAAAACTTTTGTGAAATAGGAAGGAAAGTCGTGTGAGTGGATACACCAGATTTTTTTTATTTGAAATGTTACATACCTATGTTCATCCAATTTGGAATGAGTGGATAAATTGTTAATACTAAGTTTTTCACATCAACTTATAATAATATCAATGAGATCTTTGAAAGCCAACCCTACGCGAGTTGACATTTTGAAAACCATATCACTAGAACTGACAAAAAACAATTAAAACTGTTACTCGTTTTTCAAACCTGGATTCCCAGTATACATAATTGAACTAAGTTACTATAAATTTGATAAATTTTCTCAGAATATGAGCCTCAGTGGCTTTCTGCTGCACCATTATGAAGAATCTTTTCCTTGTATCAGGTCGCTCTATCTCCGTAATAAACAACACACATTATGCAGAGGACATATATACTAAAAATTATTGTAATCAGATGGGAATGTGTCTGGTATAGATAAAAGTCTGCTATAAGAAAGCGGCCGCTATGCCAAGTTTTACTGTATGTTACAATATGAGAGGTCTACAAAATTTAATTTATGCATCCATTCCTGTATTCTAACTGAAAAGTAAAAACAGTCTCAGTTATAAAAATATATCAAATTTAAGATATTCGTTTTGTTATATATAAAAATAAATGGCTGTCAAGCCAACCAATAGTAAAACTAAATTATTGAAATGTAATGCAGTTAAGGATACTGGTTTCTAAACTTTTCCCGTCTGTAATATTGGCTAATTCTTGTAGAAGAAAAGGAGTAATATCTTTGCCAAATTTATGTTCTCTCTGTGCTTTACGTAGTGCTAGCTCAATATGTGCTTCCATCGTGTCATCTGCATCACAAAAAATTTATAAAATAAAATAAACAAATGGATGGTTTTAGATAATTTAATACAGTAAATAAAAAATGCAACTGTAGTGCATGTTATAAAATAGACTTATTTAAATAATTATAATTTATCCTAAATATGTTGCTGTCAGGATTTGGGACTGTCTGGTACATAAGTGTGCATATAATAGCAATGCAAACTCTTAAAGCACCTGCTGGTAACGCTGGTTGATTCAATGAAATTTCGTAATCCTTTCAAGAGATAGATAATTTGTTGGAAAGGAATGAGTGAAACACAAATCTTAAATTTCTTAATGTTCTGCTATAAATTGGGCATTTGTTTATATGAACTTTTTTGTAGATCTTGATGTCTACTATCAACTTTTTAAATATTTCGCTCTACTTATTTACGGGACACCCTGTATATATATAAAAGGATAAAGGATATGTAATAATTTAATCTTGAGAAATTGGAAAAAAAGAGTTAAACTATTCTAAGGTTTAGGATGTTTGACTCAGTTCCTGGAAGATTTGATAAAAAGTATTTAAGGAGATAGATGTGATAGGTCAACACCTCATAAATTTTGTGTTAAATGATTAAGAAAATTTAATGGACAAAACAGACCAAGTATATCGATATCTTTATTTATTTCTTTTAATTGATTTCTATACCAAAGTGGGAACAGGGTAGCTCAATAGTTAAGCACTGATTTCAAAAGATCGGATTCAAATCTGGCTGAAGACAAGTAATTTTTCATTAGCCGTGGATCGATGGGGGTCAGGAGAACCTCCTGGAGCACTCTCAGCCTTTAGAAAGTGAGCATCCTTAATTAAAATAATTAATTAAGGGGAGAAATCTGACAGTTGAGAGTGATCCCACCCCGACCACCCCCCAACACAACTGTTGGTCTTGAAACAGTTCTTCTTTATGAAGTACTGAATCCAAGATCCTTCACGGGTTGTTGTAATGGTGCAGGGTTTTCCATACCAATGCAACGAATACCTAACCTAACTAATTAATGAATCTATAGTTTTATATCTTATAGTCAGAAATTTCATTTTGTACATCATCTATCCATTTTTTTTTGTTTTTAATATTGAATGAATAAGTAGAAAAGTATCATGATAGTTAACAAATGACAAACAAACTCTGTGAAATCAGAACAATGTGCACTTATTTTAACTATTTTTTATATAGAATATAAAAGAGTTTGAGTCATTTTGATGCACTTGATGTTTTATGGTATGAGATCAAAATTCAAAAAACCTACTTAAAGGTTTACCACCATTAAAAATGTACTTAATTAGTGATTATTAAAATAAACTGATGGCATCATTTTTAAGGAATTGTTTATGGATGGCAAAAAACAGTTACTTACATTCAATAGAAAATTCCTTTGGTACAGGAACAGCTAATAAAACACCTGATGATATATTCAAATCCAAAGCTGCTTTTAGTAATCTGGCTGCTTCACGTGGATCTTGCACTTGGTAAGGCGCTGTGTATCCAGAATCTTTAGAGTAAAAGGCAGGGAATGTAAGACTGCCACCATAACATGCAACACAAACACCCTGAGTTTCCTGGTAAGCAAAGAAAATAAGCACAAAGAATACTGTTAATTGCTGAAAATTTATAAAAATATAATTTATAATTAAATATAATATTTATAAAAATTGAAAAAACATAAATATTGTAACCAGTAATGATAAACTAGACTTCTTGCAAAATACAAATGTTAGTTGTTACATCAAAAAAAAAATATTTGCATTAAAAAAAAACCTGACTACATAAATTAGGAAATTCTATCCACCCTAAAGGAATGTACTTCTATATTTACTGAAACATTTTGGTAGATTGCTAGGGAAATTGACATCTACAAATATTTAAACTTGCTGTAGTAGTCGGCTTCCTTTCATTAAACATTATGGCTCTAGGCAAATATATTTCGTCCCACTACTATATTTTGACCTAGCCGTTTGCTCAAAACAGCGTCACAAAGCTATTTGCAAGTTTATTAAATACATCTTATTTGATGATGGGTCAGTATTTTTAGCTCAAATTGTTTTAAACCACTTAGGAGATCTCACAAAATAAGTTGAGCCATCGAACTTAAAAAATGATCCAGGGATTCCCTAAAAAAAAAAGAGTTACACAGCTTTTATGTTTAATAAACCAAGATCTCAATTTTATCATTATTTTTACCAACCAATGTCTTGAAATGGTTCAATATCAGAAATATTTTTCAGCAGTGTAGTATAGAGAGTTCAAACGTCATCCTAACTCATGTTAAAAATAAAAATTCAATGAATGTGCCATAACTTAGGACCATTTGAATTTACTTTTTTGCTTATTATCTTTTGAAGTTTATGATATGATTATATAAGACTTTATTTTGTGATTTTTTATTAGTTTATTGTAATAAAACTTTTGTTCATATGTACATCTCAATTATTCTAATGGGAATTTGTCTCAGAACATTTTTTTTTTCAATTATATCCATCACAGAGTTAAAAAAAAAAAATTAAAGAAAATGAAATGTTTCATAAATGTTAATAATAGTGCAATTGATATCCAGGTTTCAACATATTTACTGAGAAATCATCATTATTATCATGTTCTTTGTGGTACCAGTCTTCTAACACACATCCAATAATAGGCAAATCAGTTGTGAAATGAAATTGATTTTCTCATAAAATAAGTTTTAAAAAAATTATATCTCAGCCTAGAGAAAAAAAGAACAACATACATTTTTTTTTTCTGATTTTGTATTATTTATATAAAAAGTTTAGACTTAAAAAAATCATTAATTCTAAAACAAGCAATATAAAAAACATACAGGAAGAGGTAGAGTGGCTCAGCCCGAAAGTGCCCCCTCTCCCCCTATAGATCCGCCTGTGCAGATATGTAAAACTTTATATTGAAGAGGTATGGACAAAACAAAACTATTTTGGTTTTTATAGAATACGTATAACAGTTACTTTTCAATAACTGCAGTGATCAATAATAAATATCTTATGATAAAATATATATAGTAACTGGTTATTAAAGCATTAATATTATTTAAAAGTCATTTTTAAAAGAAACATAGATAGTAAACAATATTACAGGAGTTCCTCTGAAGAACAGAAGTCCTAATAAATTCTTCCAAAAAGATCAACAATGGCATTTATGCCAACAGAAGAACTGATATAAATTTGATTCTACCAAAATCTTCAGATTAAAAAATATGACTAAATAAAGTATAATTTTAATACTTTAATTAATAATGTATAACATCATAATTGAAATTTTATCCTTTAAAAAAAGGATAAAAATTACTTAAGAATGAAACCAAGGAAATTTCTAGAGGATCACAAAGAAAAGTTTTTTTGAGAACTGTTTAGCTAAAATAACAAATATGTGTGTATGTGCACATATTTATGGGAATGAAATAGACCAAGATAAATAAGGATGGTGAAGGCTGGTTAAGGTGGCAAAAGATCTAAAAGGTCAGCAATGCCAATAGAAAAAAAAATATTATTATACGTGTGTGTTTTACTTAATATTGTCAGTTATTAAACTCTAATTATAGTAACTGGGAGATGTGGCAGAGGAAGACCGCGCCTCAGATGGATGTAATGGTGGAGGACATTCTGAAAAGGATGGTAATCCAGAGATAGAGAATGCTGGCCCGGGATAAAGGAGAGTGGAGGAGCCCAGAGATAAGAGCAGCCCAGGTTCTTGCAGGACCATTGCGCCAATATAAATAAATAAATTATATTCGTTCTAATAAGAAAACGACAAAATTAAAATTAATAGGAATTATTTTTTACTTACAAGATATTCCAAAGTCCTTTCAATATCAAGAATACTTTTTACACCACTACAAACAGTCAAAATACAATTTCTTCCAAGTTCGTTAAGATCAGCACTGATATCCAACGTGTTTTCACCATTTCTGTGGACTCCACCAATGCCACCTGAAAATAAATACATTCATATTCATGGAAAATCATAACTCCATCATGTACTCTTAATAGAGAAATAAAGGTAATTCTAAAATGGTTAAAAAAACCTTACAAAGTGTACATACAAACTTTAAATTTGTTAGTTACATAAAGATATTACAAAAGATATAAAAAAAACTAGTTTTAAACTTTACAAGACCTCTAAATGTAATTTGAAAAAATAAATAAAGGAAAGGTTATGTGCTCTGTCATCAGTCAACAACTACTAATATTATATGCTGTGAATTTTATTAGATGCTAAATGAAAATTTTAATTTAATTTAATGTCCTAAATTATTCAAATTAAGAGGAAAATAGAAATTGGGATTAAACCATATATTATCTACAAACAGTTAAATACTTAGTAGTATCTTCATTTTATTACAAGCATAATAATTTTAACTGACTACCAATCGATTTAATGGGAAAATGCTTAGACAATTTTTATTTAATTACATCATGTTCCAATGAAAAACAGCTCTTCGAAATAGCAGAATTTTATTTTCTAATTTTAACTTTCATCATATTGAGATATCTTTTCATTGAGCACTAAAAAGGCATATACTATCGATTAGAAAATATTAACAATTTGAAGAGTTTTTAATTTGAGGATCTGCTATAAAATAAAAATTTCTATTTCCGCCTCAAATAACAAAGTGACAGTAACAAGTTTTAGACAAGTTAGCTTGCTTAAAAAAGCAATCTTTCCATTCATCATTCTATGGGGGAAACAATATATACCGAATAGGTGAAGTACAGTACAAGTAGAGCTCTTGGAAATTATTGGACCTAATATAAATCTCATTAAAAGTGGAGATATCCAATTTTGACAGAAAACTCCTTAATTGTGATCATAAAATTTAGATAAAAATAAAATAACTTAAAATTAAAATTTTTCCTATTTATACAGAATCGCATCTAGGCCGACAATACCTAACATCAGGACAACAAAGCTCAGCATTAAAAGTAACTTGAGTCACACTTATTCACAATAAATAATAATAACTTGAGTCACAATAAATGTCAAAACATAAATCACGTGTCTAGACCTATAATTATTTTTATTTATTTTTTTAATTCTGCGATTCTTACCAGTAACAAATATGTTAATACCAACTGCTTTTGCTACCAGAATGGTCCCAGATACTGTAGTACCTCCATTTAATTTCTGAAAAAAAATTAAATCAGTTAAAAATATTTATTTTTATCGAAGATGGGTAAAATCGGAAACAATTATAACATGATTACAACTTAAAATAAAATAACGTTATACTTGATTCAATAGCATTATTGAATAATTGAATATAATATAGTAAAAATTTAACACGAATTCCTAATTACAATCGAAATCATGATAACTGTAACTGTAATCGTTGATTATGAATATGCCTATCTATGATTCTTATCATTAAAATTTAATTCTTCCTTTGTCAACACATTTTTTATTAGTAAGAGTGATAATTTATTTTCTAAATAAATGAATAATTAAATCATGGAATTAGGAATCAGACATCAATGTTAATAACTGAAAAAGGCTTCATATTTTCACAATTTAAATAAAAAATAAATAAAGTAGAAAAGTGGAAGAGAATATCTAAATATGGATAATGTGATGTTTCATTTTATATAAAAATTAGAACTGTGAAAGAGGGCTTCCTATTTTCAATCTTTTTCTATTTAATTAATTTCAGTTAGATATAATGATCAATGATGTTTCCATAAAGGCAACTATAATACGGAACACAAAAATATATCAGTAGTAATCTGATTTCTGACTCATACAGCTTCAATTTGAGCACATATCATTAGATATTTTTTTAGTATTTATACTAGAACTAAAAAAAGGTTATCAACCTCAAGCTAAATTTAAAATTGCTCAAATGAACCTATCTGAAACTAGGAAGATTACCTGATATAAAACCAATTATTCTAGATTTTTTGTATCATCTCATCTAATGAATGAATTGTGGTATTACCAAAATTTAAATGTTTGGGTTTTGAAATCAATTAATTTATAACTAAATTTGATTACAATACGTTTTGCTACTTTGATGTGAAATCAGGAAGTAACACTATATAGTTCTTATTAACATTTTCTTGAATATTGACCTACATTTTATTATTTAAGTAAGTTAGTATTTTAAATTTTCATTTAAGCTAAAAGCAAGATTCAATTTATAATAAAGAAAATTATTTTTCACAAGTGAGCATTAGATGTTTTTTCAAAACTGAAATTCATACCAACTTAGATACATTAATTTTTTTTTAAAGGTTATTTGAAACAATTGAATACAGCACAAATTTAGAGAAAAAAATATACTTTAGTTTAAAACATATCCAAAGAACTTTCAGTTTAACCCAAAGAATTATCTTTTGATCAACTAACATTAAAGTTAAAAAATTTTTACAACATAAAACAGTTTAAAAATACTTATCAAGTAAAAAATAATTAAAGATTACTTTGCTTAAAACAAATGGATAATCTCGTCTTGATGTTTTAACTTTGGGTGTATTTGGATCAGCTAGATGGCTCAGTTGTTCTTTACTTAATCCAACTTTGATTCTACCTCCAATCACTGCAACTGTTGCTGGAACGACACCCTTTAAAAATATATACTTTTCATTAACTAAAGGTTGATACTTGATGCCTCATTTCAAATACTAAATGAACAAACACTTATATGAGCCTTCAGTTGACAGAATGACTAACTCCAATTTCAACATTTTAGTAATATTTCTTATGGGAAAATCCAGAGTAGGTGATTGCAGCATCCAAATATAGAACTGTGAATAAAGTTATAAATTTTCCCACTAGGAACATCACTAAAATTAATAATAAAAAATGTTGAAATTGGAGTTAGTCATTCTGTTAACTGAAAGGGTCATATATGAATAATTATTTAATTACTATTAGAAACCAGATAAATGTTTCTGGAATTGGTATTTATAATATCCCAAAGGGGATAAGTTTACCTGAATGAAAGAAAGTTTTTATTTATCTTTTATTGAAGAGAAGGATGGCTGGGGGTGATCAGTCAAAATAAAAATTGGCAAAAAGAAACAATAATATTAATTTTTACATTTGCTGACGTTTTACCCCAAAGTTCAGGCCTACATCAGGGCTGATCGAAGCAAATGCTTGGAGAGATATGACTAACCCTAGAGAGATATGATTAACTGTGCTTCGATCAGCCCTGAACTTCAGGTCGAAACATCGGCAAGTGTAAAAATAAATATTATTATTTATTTGGGCTGATCACACCAACCATCCTTCTCTTCAATTATTCACTACAGTCAACCATCAACCCACAATTTATCTTCTATTTTTATTTTTAAATTTACTTTTCCTTATCAGATGTAACTTCTTTGTTTTCTTTTGATCAATAAAATACAAGCCAATATAATAGAATACTTTCATCCTTAGGTGTTACGTGAAAATTAGCTGTTATTAATACATAGCAGCCACTTATTTCAGATTCACCATCAATTACGACTGTTTTATTATTGTGCCTTAAGAATACAAATACTTGAAACTTGTACCTTAAAACAAAGGCTATATTATACTGATATATTCATTAAACATTATATCCCAATTACATTAAGCACAGAAATAACTTTGCATTTAAGATAATTCTGTGGTCTCTCAAATTGAGTAGAGCCACAGGATATTTTCTGATCATTTTCCTACCTGATCTCTAACAATTCCTTCCACAGCAACTGCAGTATTTAAGTTATGAGGGGGAGGCATGCCATGGGTTAATATAGTGGATTCTAAGGCAATAACAGGTTTTTTCTCATTTAAAGCTGCCAATACTTCCTCAGAGATATCTATTAAACTGGAACCTCTTTTGGATAAAGTATCTTTCAACTTAAAACTAGCTCTTAAAAACGACATCGCTGTTCAACTTGATTTTTTCCTAAATTAATTGAACGAAAATTAAGGTGACAAAAAGAAAAAAAAAAAGAAAAGAGAAATGAAACGATATAAATGATCACACGTTTATTGATTGAACAATACATACAGAGTATAACAAATGTAACAGCTTTATGATCAGTTATCTAAAGTTATCACTGTTTCAAATTTAAAGTTTCAACCTTCACAACGTTGATAAGGTTATGACAGATTAGAACCTGTACCTCCCTTTCACTTGATAAGAATTATCAAAATAAAATTCAACCAATCTCAAATAGGTGTGTGATGTTTTATGGAAATAAATTTGCTTTCCAATAATCTGAATCATAATATTTTTAAATACTAATTATAAAGTATGGATTTATATGGGCCATAAAGAGATCATTGTAATTGGATTTTCTTCACTGAAAATTTTATCTTTTGTATATTTGTATCTTGTTTTAATTTGTTACATAAATTCTTGATGATATTGTGAATTAGCAAATAAACAGGCTTACTAAGACTGCAATATTTAATATTTGCAAGGTTTCTCAAAACCTAAAGAATGTTGTTATATTGTATCCCACTAAAAATATTAATACTATTTTAATATTAAAAGACAGCTGTATACCTTAATTTATTAATTTTATTTGTTAATTTTTGTATTAGAACGTAAGATTAATAAAAAGTTTTGAGTTAAGAATAGTAAATTTCCAATCACATTCTACCTTTTGACACCAAAGAACAAATTTGGTTACGTCTGTCTGTGGTGAAATCCATGTGACGTATCATCTACTTCCGTTAATCCGATTTTTCAGATATTTTGCGGGTTTGTAACTATATAGATGATCCTACATCATTTCCAACTAATTCCATCCACTACTTCCGCTTCCAATACACACGTATTTCCTTAGTACGCCTGTATTAAAAAAACTCCTCATTCGATTAGGCCTAAAGTTGAAGGAAATTCGGAGAGTAATGTTCAAGTAGTCTCGTATAAAGTTACGGATGAATTTCAAATCAATTTTTACTCCAACTTCAAAAAGGACTGATTGTAGACTTCATGATCAAACTATTAAAATGAACTTGGCCCGTGCGAATAGTTTAGCAGTCAGTGAACAATTGTTAATATAATATTGAAATAAGTAAATGTAATATAATACCACAGGGAAGAGCCTTTTTTTTCCTCGATGGTACATTAATAAAAATTAATAAATCAAAAAATATCGTCGGCACCATGTTAAAGTAACAGGTTATTATTTCTATCAGGAACGAACGGATTAATCGTGGTTCACAATCACTTCGGTCACACTTGTTTATGGAGTGCTGAATGCAATCCGAGTTGAAATTCTACTGTTTTCGGCGTTTCATGTACAAATGTGACCAAAGTGATTGTGAACCACGCGCAATCTGTGCGATCCTGATCGAAATAATTACCAAGTAACGGATGTGCAATGTTAAAAAGGCTCACATTAATTACATTAAAACTATAAATATTAAAGCTTGGTGTAGAATATCAGTCATCCTTCATACTCCAATGAAACTCAGTAATGTATACATTAATTTAAATACAATAAATTAATTTACTTTTAGTATGTTCACATTTACAAATGCACTATCCAGATATACTCATGCCAGTATATATGCACTAAGAACCCACCAACGAACACATGTAAATATTGTAGATATACCTGTATATTCGTCTTTTAGTACAGATAGAGTGGTTTCTATTGTCATCAAAATTATTAAAAAACTATTGTATAAAGGTATAAGAACAAAATATATGTTATCTGGTAATAAATAAAATCTAAGAATTGAACAAAAAATTAAAATATATAAGTATTTTTTTATTCAGAATAAATAATTATCTTCTACAGCCGCACTAGGACTCGTTTCCAGGAAATGGCAGTACAGTGACTGAATTTAAAAAAAAGTTTATATTGTCTTATTCAATGTTTAAAGAGAGTTCGTGTATAGGAGAGTATACTTATGATAGCAAATATTCTTCCATGCATACCTTGTTTTGGTAAACTTCTTTCTTACCTTGAAAAAAAATGTTTTTTTTTTTGTTGCAACATTAACATCAAAAAGAAAATAATGGGTATATATACATACAAACACACACACACACACACACACATATATATATATATATATATATATATATATATATATATGGCCAAGTTCCTAAACTCAGCGCAGAACTCATCGGTGTCATCTTTTCGTCCAGTTTAGAACGATGATTTAAGCGCTGAATTAAGGGACTTGCCCTATGTGTTGTTAAAATTGTAAATATTTTAAAATTATTATATTTTTACTATCTTACAAGCATTAATATTATTGTATAATTTAATTCATAGATACGACATACATGGTTAATCTACTTTGAGTTAATTTCATATACTTGACTAATTTTATTTTATTAAAAATCTTCAAATATTTATGCATTTCCACGATTTTTCAAGGAGCATGGGTATAAGTATTTACGATAGTTTAAAAAAAATTATGATACTAGTATTTATTATTAAGGGGTGGTAACACTGGTATTCTGCATCGTCACCCCAGTCTAGCGCCAGCTTTGTACTGATGTATTTCGTAACAATCGTAGTATTTCAAATATAACTCAGGTCTATTGCTGTTAATAAAAACTTAAGAATTTACAAATCTTTGAGAAAGTAACGAGAAAGCTTCTCAGCTATTTCAAAATAAGGTAATGATCAATTTTATAAATGTTTATTTTTAAATTAGCCATAATTCATTGAATAAAATTATAAAATTAACAGAATGTACATAAATATTTAACAATCATTCTATGACATATTAGAAGATATAATAAATGCAAATGAAAATATTCTCTAAGAAATAATTGTTTAAACTTTGGACTGTACGTGTCTGTGCATGCTTGAAAATTATACTTCGTCCTCCCACCAGAGATTGACAAATGCTATTCTCAGTACCGAATACCAAGTATTTTACTCAAATTGAATCACTATTGGGAATTCAATCACTACTTCAGTTGATCTTTTGGCATCAGCTGAAGCAATAATTAAATTTTTTGGTACTCAAAATAGATCAGTATTTAAGTTAAATACTCGGTTCTTAGTAACACGGGCGGATCTACGGAGAAGAGAGGGGGGGCTTTCGGGCTGAAGCCTCCTCACCCCAAAATGGTAAAATATAACCATGTTTTAGGTAAAAATATATTAAAAAATTATCTCTTAAAGTATTATTGTTCGTGTATTTACATTTAAAAAGGACTTAAGGAATCTCTTAAATACCATTTCATATAGATAGTTTCTTTTTTTTTCCCAATGTAATTATCGTCATTTTATGAGAAAAAAAAAAAAAGATTTCGGGCTGAAGCTCCCCCCAAAATTAAATCCTGGATCCGCTAGTGCTTAGTGGTCAGTACTTAGTAGTAGCATTTGCCCACTGGAGTCAGCTATGAACCAATGCATTTCGTAATGATGAAATTTATTTATTATTCGTAATTATTTATTTATTTTTTATTCGTTCTGAAAGCTGTTAATTGCAACTCCTAATAAATTACTACTATCTATTTAGTATACTAATATTTAAACTATCTATTTCTAGAACACAAATGTTTCTATATGTTTTAGGAATAAGGTACTGATTGTTATTAGATGACTGTACCATTTTGAAATTATGTTTTAATATGTTGTAGTTAAGTTCTAATGAACTTGGCTATTTATGGAATTATACAAACATTCTTAGTCTTTTTGAATATTAACTGCATTGATGGAGCTATAATTCTTTTTTCAAACCATCATATGAAGTGATTAGTTAAAAAAAATCCAAAATCAAAAAGTCAAAGTGTGATAGGCACAGCACGCAGTGATGGCCGGTTGTGTTGAAGTTTTGGCCACTTTAACATTCTCGACTCTAGCGGGATCGGTTCTAATCCGGTCTGAGCGGGTTGAAATTAATTTCGTGGCGTGCCCACGTATTAATTTTGACCTTTCCTCTCTTAGGTTTAGTTATTCTTCTAAAATAACCCCCCACCCTTTCTTAAACTAGAAATAGCAATCGAAAAAAAAATTGTTGGGACAGCTAAAAAAAAAACTGTCATAAAAGACTGAATGACAAATGAGAATAGGGTTTCTGTATTAGAAATCATTATATATGAACAATAATCAATATTACAAAAATAAAACAAATTTATCATCTGAATATATTTTTTTCTCTATAAGATCTCTAATTTGTCTTTGTGTTAGTATTTTCAATAAAACATAAATATTACATTGGTTTAATATGTATAAATATAATGTATAATTTCTATAAATATAATATAATTTAATTTATAATGTTAAAAAAACCAGTCTTTAAGTACAATAGATATAAATTGAAAATGGCTACTTTAAGGATAATTATATTTAAACATAAAAATGCGACTAGTAATTGATGTAGCTTGATTTTCTAATTTTATAAAAATTCAATATAGAAGAAAGAAAACATTCACTTTCCTACAATAAACTAACTTCTGTAAGTATATCTCCACTTTGTAATCACAACCTGTATGATATCATTTCGAGAAATATAATAACTACGAGATACAATTGTTATACTTGGAGTTACAATAGCTATGACTTTGAAGCTTTTAGTGGTGAGAAAAAAAGCAGTTGGCCAACCTATATATTATATCAACCAACTCCGCTTTTCATCTACTACATTCTCAATGCAACTTCATATTAACAATAATAATGTCATATTAAAATAATAATGATCCAGGCAGTTAATATAAAACAGGCACCTCACATGTTTTTAAAGATATTGCTTTACATGTTTTTTAGTAGTTTCGATAGAAATAAAAACAAAATTGACTTTAATAATATTGCCCAAAATGGTTCAAAATCATTAAAATTAGCAATTATTTTGAACATTAAAACATTTTTAAATATAATTTTATACATCGCTTATTTTCCAATTAATAATTTATATTAGTGTTTTCCTACTCCAACATATCACCTTCCGGTTCGAAAAACAAGGTAATTCATTTTGTTTTTTGTGTGTTTGTGTCAATTGGAATGGTGGTATGTTTTCATTCAATATATTTGAATTGTTTAATATGAATTATTTGCAAACGAGAAATATATTAATAGATTAAGAGGAAAATTATCCGAACATTTTACCTTACTATTTCAATCGAGGCCTTCTGGAATAAAATATTTTTTTACTGCTTATTTGAGCCGAAAAAAAATCTATAAAGTTTATGGAAAAGAAAATTAAATGCCAGATTTTTTTCAACCTTTTAGTTTCATTATTCCCCCCTCTCATTCGTCATTCTTTCCTTTTCTTTTCTACCTTGGGTATAATACGGTAATAGAGATCCCGTCAGGAGCGATGGAGTGATAAATTTTGATGAATGAGGTATCTAAAGAAAGACAACTTCGGAGTAGTGACGACCCTTAAATTCCTATTAGAACTTTAATAAAAGTCATTTTAAAAATACGAAGGTTTCAAGATCCCGACGTTAGGTCGATGAATAATAATGGGACAAATTGCATTTTAAAGATTTAGACATTTTTAAGCCTGAAAATGTACGATTTTCGAGTTGAGCCATAATTCATTTCGATAGCCTTCGAACTCGAAAAGGAAAGAAAACACGAAGGAAATAAAAGGAAAATTAAAATTGCAGTTAGGAAGCGATTATGAGAGACTTTACTCAGACAGTGAGCTGTCTAATAATGTTGATTATAAGGTGGAGGAAATAGAATAAATAAATTTGAATACTTCCATTCTGGATCCCTTTTTATTAATATTATTGTTAGTTTTTTTATTCATTCTTAGAAATTCTAATTTTAAATTATAAGTTTCTTAAAAATTAAATTTTCGCCATATTTTTTTTTAATCTTTTTTTCTATTTAATTAAGGATATAAAAGTTTTAAATGTATTTATTTATGATGAATACGTAATTTTCATTCGAAAATAATGCTCAATGAATTTTTCCTGCTAGATCGTTCAGAGGTCCCACTGTGCGGCAGAGACCTAAGCCAAGTAGTGAGATGATATTTGCAAAATTTTCCAATGCGAAAATATAGTCACGAGTGACGAAGTGTCGATATTTTTAAAAAATCCTAACAAACATAAGCAGTGGGCTCGGCCAGGTGAAGCTGCACATCCTGATGTACACCAAGTCGGTTTGGAAAAAAGTGATGCTTTGTTTGGTGGAACTTCAAAGGTGTTTTTGTTCTTGATGGTTGGATAGTGGATTCAAACCTATACTGGGAACATCTAGACAGAGCTCATGCAATTTGTGTGCAAAGTGCACCGCTATGGCCAACAGGAACCAAGCCATTTTGTAACTCGGCAATGCTCCTGCATTATCGGAACTACCAGCAGTAAACGTTTAGCCTCAAACTGCGTGTAGACCAGATAATCCACCATTAGATTATGGTTTGTTTAGATCAATGGCTCATTTTTTAAAAGTTCGGATCTTTGATAATTATGACTAAGTAAAAATTGGATGTCAAGAGTTCTTTGCATCAAAACCAAAAGAGTGGTACAGGTATCAAATCTAATTACTGGCAGAAAGATGAATGCAAGTAGTTGATAACAATGGACTCTACTTTGACGAACAGTAATCTATAATGTTTAAAATATGTAACATGAAATACAGCGATACTTATGCAGAAGGATTTCTGTGACAACCTAGTATTAAAGAATAATAATTGATCTCTATTTTTAAATTAATTAAATATTTTCTTTTCTTTTGAGAATAGCGGTGTCTAGTTAATTAAAATGGGCACGGTAATTGGAGAGTTTCTTGAATTAAACCTATGCTACTAAAATATGTTAACACGATGACATATCACTCAATCCTATTGGTTCTTCTACTTAAGATTCGCCACATTATTCTAATCATTAAGAGGCTTTGCTTTTTTAATTGTCATGATATTAGCATACAATATGATATTATGAATAGTAAAATATTTTTGGGAGTTAAAGCTTTCAGAAGGATCTGTCCATAACATTTGCAAAAACTGTTGAAGTGTGTGGTGCAAATCGAGATTGGCTTTAGTAGATGAGATAGGCTTTAGGAATTGAATTTCAGTTGTCAGCACCAGTAAGTACACGCCATGCATTTAGAAATGTGCACTCGAATTAAAAGAAAACCCATATTTAAAAATTATTTTTTTGGTGAAATATCAATTATAGTAAATATATGGGAAATAAATTATATGCTAGTGAAAATTATATTGAAAGCTGCAAAGTTTATATATATATATATATATATATATATATATATATATATATATATATATATATATATTTAGAAAAATAAGTAACATGTGATTGTATTTTTAAGGATAATAAATTTATCAGCAATTTTCCATATATTTGTGACTCAGAATTCAAGAGATCACTAAAATCATTAGACATTAGTAAAATCGAGTGATTTTCCAAAAGGTTGAAAAACAATTTTTGGGTTGTGCTAAGCTGGGATAATGGACCTTTTATCGACATTATAGATCATATTTTTATAATATTAAATTTAAATATAAGTATAATATAATTTAAATTAAATAATATATATATTTATATCGTGTACTGTAAGTAGATGGAAATTTTTATAGGAGTAATAGCAGATCTTAAGAGCTACAAAAAAGTTTATATAAATAATGGGCCGATTTCCAGTAGGAAATTAAATGTTTGTGTTTTTTAAGTAAGACACGGTTTAACAAGTGTTCAACAAGGAGCTATAGCATAAAAACTATTAAACTTAAGTAATTAATAATTGCTTCATTGTAAACTAGAAAAAAATGACTTTAAATATATGTAGTTTCTCATTATTAAAACAATTTAAAAAATACTTTTGATGGGCTAAACTAAGCTATGTTCTGTTTTTAAAAAAATCAAAAATTATTCGCGATTTTTTTTTTATCGTCCCCGAACTATAGGACAGACAACCCACTTTAACAAAAACGTCTTGGTTTAATAGGCTTTAAATATACATAAAATTAAGTTGAGGTTTATTTGGATAAAACTTGAGATTCACCTCTTTGTGTTTAAAAGTAAAAGTAAAGTAAAGTAATAAGTAAAGTTGGTATAAGTTGTGTAAAAAAAGTATTTGATTTTATATCCTGTAACCAAAATATGCCGTTTTTCCATCAATACTGATTACAATAAATTATTGCAATGCTTTTATTTCTTGTTTTTACATGATCTTGGACTTGAAATAATAATCATAATTGCCTACATACCTAATTTCTTTATTTAAAAAAAATAATGATTTTTCGATTATTCGTCATTTAAAGTGATAATATAAAAGTGTTTTTTACTAAAATCTATATTACAGGAATTGGTCTATATTTATAAGTGACGGAATAAATGTTTCTAGTCCTAAAATTTATGTTTAAAATAAATAAATCCGCTGATTGCTTCAATTATTTTCATGGAAACGTAAATATTAGGATCAAAAGAACGTTTAGTTTGTGACTTGGATATGGATATGGATTATTTCCTGTAATATAGATCTTAGGAAAAAATACTTTTTCATTATCATTTTAAATGGATTTACCAATGACAAATTCTATATTTTAAATGCATTTTGTCTAGCTTACATTGAAGCAATTGTTAATTACTTAAATGTAATAGTTTTTTAGGTACCGCTTACTATTCAACAAAAAACGTTACACTTAAAAAAAAAAAACACTTTAATTTCCCACTTTCCTGCTGAAAAAAGACCCGTTATTTATATGAACTTTTTGTAACTGTTAAGTTCTGCTATCACAGCTATAAAAATTTCCCTCTAATTACGGAACACATTGCATAAAAAACCGTTAATTAGTGTTGTAAAGGATGCCAAGTTACTACATGGAAACTGGCTAATACAGCTACATGTTTGGCATTTCGCTAATCTCTTAGAGGCACATTTTCTTTGGTAATTGATAATTCATAATGGATTCACAAAACATTTTATTTAATTTTTTAATATATACAAATTTAGTTATTTCATTTTCTTGAGCAGTGATTTTAAATACACAGCTTGTAATAATCAATTTTCCACATTCTCGCCTTCTTCAGTATTTAAAATTAACGGTTTTTATTATTTATGAAGGACATAATAGTTTAATTATTATTAACAAAGCATTAAGTGTTACCAGGACCCGCTGGTATTTTGAAAAGCGAAAATAGTTATAGAAAATAGATACTCGGTATTTAAATGGCTTTATTACCTTACCCGGTATTCTTAAAATTTTCAGCTGTCGTTGCTTTTACGAATCTTAATAACGTAAATATCTTTAAAAGCTTATAACTCAGCGGTTCTCAATTTTTTCTAATCAATTCAAGTTTTTGACGAGTTAGACTTTTTGTCCTCGGCATCCTTGCCGAACTAAAATTTTCCTTCCGTGTCATCCTTACCGAGCTAATGATTTTTGGCGGTACTTCTTTCGAGCTAAACTTTTTTTTCGCGTTAAACTAAAAAAAAAAAATCGCGACACATTTCTAGTACAAAGTGTGTGCAAGACAAAAAAAACTAATTTAGACTAGTTTTGCCCTAATGCGAGACCAAGACGAGTCTTGGTGTTGCATACTCCATCTTGTTCTTGGTCTTGTGCAAGAATATCGCAACAGTCTTGCAGTTACCTATTAAGCTATTTTTTTTTTTTTAATGTTGGCTTTAAGCACGTCGACCCCTTTGGGTCCATTGTGCGCCTATTAAGCTATTACTATAGAGATATTACTGTAATTTTTTATACAGCAGAAACCTAACTAAGCCCAAATGAAAAATTGGGAGATTTAAACGCAAAAATATATTGGTTAAACCAATTCTTTACATATAGTAACTAAAATTGTCAATGATTAATAATTATTTTGTCTTCATTTATATTCACAAGAATGATTTTTTTTTTACCAGTCTTAGTTTTGGTCTTGTAACAGTCAGGCAAAGTGCAATACCAAGACCGATTTTGGGCAATACTACTTTAGACCACTCGATAGAAGTGAAAACATCAAGGCGAGATTAATAACATGAAATATAAATTATAAATAATAGCCCGTTACAAAAAGGATGAAATATTGAACAATTCCCTCTCTTACAGTATGCAAGTCCGATTTTTACTTTCTGAAATATTTTAATCCATATCTTCAGCTAAATTCGTTATCATTTGATTTTCAGCACTATTTTTTCCCTTTTCCCCTATGTAACACGGCGTCGCGTTAAGGTACAATTTAATAAAAACTTATTACAAAGAGGATTTAATGATGAACATTTCCCTCGCTAACAATATGCAGGTCCGATTTTTAGTTTTTCAGATATTTTAATCCATATGCAAAAACATAATTTAGTCGGCACCAGATATTACCCGAGTGTTACACATCGGAACTCTGACGGCTAAATCTAATTCACTCTCCACAACAAATGTACAAAACGTTCGTAAGGTGTCTTAAACTCGTGCAAAAAATTGTATCATATCCCCAAAGAAGTATTAAAATATTTTTCCATTTTCTATGCAATGCATATATACGAAGTACAATTTAATCCATGTATTATCTTAAATTGGAATTATTTTAATTTGAATTCTGTTATCAGTAAATCTAAAATTATTAATATTTAAATTGTCTATTCTAAATTGAAATTCTAATATCAAATTGACGATTTTATGATACCGGAGAGGCGCCTCAACCTGAAGAACGGGCTAAGATGGTTATTGACAAATACACGTATATTCTGTTACTCGACGTAGCATTGCTGTTAATACTTATTTTTGTTGTAATTATGTTTATGTTACAATGTTGCATAAAACTAACTAACTTAGGCACGTGATATCATCCCATAAATTTAAATTTTAGATCCGTGTTTCATCAATATGTATGTATATATAAATACATTTTCATTTAAATTTCATGAAAATTATTACATTAATAAACCTTGTTCTTTTACGATACATAACTTGTAGGTGATATAAGATCATACTTAAATTAACTGAATTAGTATTTAACGATTACGCTTAAAATTAGATAAAATGGATTCCTTGCTGTGTTTAGTACGTTGAATCATACAATATATTTTTGTTATACTTTTTAATTTGTCTATTACGGTTTCTTGTTACAATAAAAATTTGTGGTCGAACAAAAAAAAACTTTACTTTTATTTATCACCCACAATATTGGAGGTTTTTGTAGTTACAGATAAGTACAATTAAAAATATATTTCCTCTCCCCCGTCCACTTTTCTGTATTTTCTCTTAAACAATTGTTTGTTTTATCTTCAGATTTAGTAGCAATATTATAGGTCAACGTGAAATGACCGATACAGGGGTGTCCACAAGGGGGTTTCATGACGCAAGTCATACAAATTTTTGAGGGGGTTACATTTTGACGGGGTTTCGAATTTTTCAGGGGTCACATTTTGACGGTGTTAAGAATTTTAGGATTGAAAAGTTTTGAACCAGGGAGCGTAGTGAAAAAGTGTAATGGTAAATATCCTATGTTTATTTAATTTTTATTTTAGCTTGCACTGTTTTAAGATGAAAAGAGATATAAAGTATCTGAAGAGGAAGAGGATGGGAGAGGAGAGGGTCATACGCCATCGACTTTGGGGAGGATAGGTACCTCTGGATCTATACAACTTGACTATCCGCTATTTAATTAAACATGGCGACATATTGCAGGCCCTACCTCTATCATGTATGAGCTTATAGAAAAAAATATATGGAATTTTACAATCATTATACCTAAGCAAAATAAAAATCATGAAATAACTATTTTAATAACCATTCTACAATAATTTACAACATTTTTCAATTTATTCAGTCGGAACCGTCATTCGTGTTCTATATCCCAAAGTTTTACAGTGTTTCTAGAACAATACAAAAGTTTTACGGTGTTGGTAATAAAATGATAAATGAGGAAAACAAGTGATATCTGCCAAGTTAAATTATTTGCTAACTTCCTACATAATAAATTCAATTATGTAATTAATGTCTCTAAGCAAAGATTTAGGATTTGCAACCAAAATAAAACATTTTACTTCGATTACCATTAATGATATAACGACTGATAATACTCCAGAGCCATAGTTGTAATCCAGCTGTGGCAGATAATATGTAAATTTATTCT